AAAAAATGCCTGAAGTAACCCTACAGCTGAATATGACTTTTGAAATGTTATGCATTCTTTTAATGGCGCAATTTAAAACCCTGCGTCTGTGCGCGTAATGGCTGCGCTCCTGAATGAGGCGAGTGCGCGTGGCAGCAACAGAGAGGACCGAGAATTTAAGAAGGGGGGATGAGGGAGGGGGGGTTAGAGTCAAAAGAATTCTGAATAAGCATAAGAGAAACTTTTGTACTTGAGACTGTTTGAGTGGCGACGTGAATGTGATCTTCAGAGGAAATGGCAAAAGAAAGGCAGGGAGCAGGAAGAGGCTGCACCTGCAGAGGAGGTCTTCAGCTCCCGACCCCCCCGCTGCGCGGAGAGAGAGAGGGAGAGACGGGCTGGGGGGGGGGCGGCAGCTGCGTGCACCGGAGAGCGAGCGCGCAGCAGAAGTCAGAGACGGGAGGAAGAAAAGAAAGAAAAAGCAATGGAGAGCATAAGTGCAACCTCTTCTTCTCCCAAAGGCCCCCTGCTATGTCTCCCGTTTGCGCTCCCACACATCGTGTAAAAACTGTGAGGGGGGAGGAAAAAGGGTTGGGGGGGGAGCAGAGCTCGGCTGGTGTTTGAAATCATATGTAAATAAGGCACATTGATAATGAAGCGCCAGAGGAGGAAATTCCACTAATTACCTTGCAGAGAGTTGACAGGGAGCAGGAGGCGAATGCACTCCACACGCTGTTCCCCATGAAAGGGACAGAAAAGGGAGGAAAAGATCTGATGGCAAGGCGACAGGTTTCCATTTAAAGCCAACGCAAGTCTTTTATTGAGCCCTTTGTGGGCTCCTATGATAAAGTCGGTTTGTTAAGTTAAAGGAGTGGGTGAGTTGAAAAGGAATCAGAGTGATTCACCATCCATCTACATGTTTCACTTCATATTAGAGAGGATATAGATGTAGGCTGTGTGTCAGTGGGGGTCGGCTTTCAGACACAGAGATGCCACCGGTGTGTAAAGTCACCCATTATGAGCCTAAAGCCCATACGGAGAAAAGGCAGAGTGTTTGAATAAAGATACCTATAGCGGGTCGGAAATGCTTCTTAAATATCATCCATGTGATCAAACTTTACGTATTTCAGGTTGACGACATCTGATTTTGTCTCCTTACCCTCGGTCCGTTTGTCCTGGGCTTGAGGGTGAAACACTGACTGAACGGACTCATAAGGAACGCACTAACACACTGCTGCTGAGGATGTGAGGCCCGGTGTCACCACCATAAACAAGCCTGCTTCTTTTGCTGTTATTGTGCGTTCCTCCCCAGGCCTCACTAAATTATGTCTGCGAGTGTGTATAATACCAGAGCATCTGTTTGTTCCCGGTGGAAATAAATAGGTGGTGTTTAAACGAGGCTGTTTAAACGACCCTCTTGTCGGGGCAGACAGTGGGACGGAGGCGTGGGGGGGGGGGGGGGGGGGCGGGCCTCCAGGGGCGTCGTGCTCTGACGTGGACCTCTGTGATAGATGGAGCCCTAACGGAGGGAAAACACGTCCTGTGGCCGTCCAGCGAGGGGGTCCGGGCCCGGTTTACAAACACGGCGTTCCTGGGAGAAACTCTGAAGGCTCCGTGAGCTGGCTGCCTGTGTGAACACTTCCCTCATTAAGCTTCCCGTAAAGGCCCCTCCGCAGATAAAGTTATTGTTGTTGTCAAACCACAGTCGTGGGGATTTCCAGGGCCACACTTCAGAGACTCCAATCCAGACAGAACGTTTTAATTGAGCCTCAGAAACGTGTTCAGCTCCTCCAGCTAGACACTAACATTTACTGAAATCCACAAAAATGCCATTCTCTCTGGCTGAGAGCAGGTGAGTCATCGGGTGTCGGGGGAAACTCTAACGGCCCCCAAAAAGTAAAGCAAAGTCTTTTCCAGTTCATTTATTTGAATCTTTTTACAGTCCCGAGAGTCTAGCAGAGGTCCCCAGTGTTGAGAGGATGGCGGCAGAGGTGGAGCTGTTGCAGAGACACCTGTCACACATCCACTCCCCCACCGTCCTCTGCCACAACGACCTGCTCACCAAGAACATCATCTACAACCAGGAGGAAGGTAACGGCACCACTGGGTAAATGACCCAGTCAGGGATTTTGCGTCGATAAGGCAAAATAAGTTCTGGGAGGAAGCCCTGAATAGACAGGCCTCTTTATGCTGAAGCTTCTGGGCTGTTGTTGAGGTTGACAGTGGGTCAGGAGCATCAAGAAGACATCAGAGGAGATGGCAGAAACTGCTCAAATTCAAAAACTGTCCAAAATTGAAGGGAAAGTCTGGAAGCGTCATGTTGGAGGAAGAAATGCGCTCGGAAAAAAAATTCCGACTGACTGTAAATGGTCATTAATTCAATTTTTTGGTGAAATCACATAAAAAACAAAAACATGAAACAAAAGTAGAGCTCAGGGCTGCGCTTGAGAATGAAAGTAGGAGCATTTCCAATAGTGCGAAGGCAACTCAAGAGGCTGGGACTGAGCAGCTGTGTAGCCATGATCAAATCAGGAAGGATCACTGGAGAAAAAGGCTTCAGGTTTTTAGGCAGCGTTCAAATTTGACACGCGTCTGTTGAATCCAGATTTAACCTGTCCTGGGCAACTCTGGGCCCTGAGGGGCAGCAGTCCTGCAGGTTATAGAGGTTTCCCTGCTTCACACCCCATTCACATGAAATTGATCTCCTCTAAAGATTGCTAAACTAGTCAAAGCTAGCTTTGTCAAAGTTTTGTTTTAGCCAGGCTATTTTACGTAGAAACACACAGGTGCAAACCTTCATCTTACTGGAAAATACAATCCATCTCTAGTAAACATGTTACTTCAACTGATTTATAGTGGGATTTTTCATTTTAAAAAGATTGTTAAAAGCTCTCAGTTGAATAAACTCCCTGTTACTTTGACCCCCACAAGGCTCTGTGCTGTGAGTTGAAAGGGGAAGGTGGTCGGTAGCACATCCGCCGTTCAGACCCGTTCATCACGTTGTCCTGGTAACTGCTGCTTTCTCTCTCTCCTCCTGCGTCAGGCGTGGTGAAATTCATCGACTACGAGTACGCCGATTACAACTACCAGGCTTTTGATATCGGCAACCACTTTAATGAATTTGCAGGTAAGTCTGTGCCGCCACCACAATAGGCTCAATCCCCTTTTCTCCAGAATCCACGAAACATGCATATTGTGCTGTTTCTAAATGTATCATAGGACTAAGGATAGACATGCCTGTTTATTTGTTTCTGCTGTTCACGTGTGAATGGAAAATGATGGATGGATCTTGGCCGGATCTTGATATTGTTAAATGTAGCATAGCGACAGCAGCAGATGTTATAAACACATATAAACTTATGTTGTGCAGAACCATCTTCTCTTTGCCCCGTGTTTTTGACCCAATCACTGCTACCTTCTTACCATTGACTGGTGTAAAAATGTGACCTCCCTGTGATGGCGCCAAGGCAAATAGCTGTGTTGGGTCTGTATTATGCAGCTAGTTTCTTGGAGAAGCTGTGTCGCATCAAAGCCTCCCAGGGCCGCATTTGTGGAACAATTATCCATGTCCCGCAAAGTTATGGCTTGCAAAATATCCACAACAAGTTTGGATGGTTCAGTGGAATTTCCATGGATGAAAATATGAGTCAATTATGACACAAATATGTTTGAATAATGCACAAACAGGTTTCGATGTGGGTTCCCTTTGTCACATGGCAAAAACGAGGACAGCACATTGAAGTAAAATGTATGTCTGTGCCTTTCTTGTTACTGTTTATTGCTTGTTATCCTCAATTAGGACCCACTGCAACCATGGGAATGCATCAAAGTGCCACATCAGACCGTCAGTGCGATGTTAGTTAGATTGGTCGTGAGTGCAAAACATATGGGGATGATTCACGATGGCGTCTCAGAAATTGTAAGAGGCACTATACTTTATGGGCTCCAAACTGTTTCACAACATTTTAGATTTTGACATATCTGTGTTTGCAGCAGAACCGTGTAATGATCAGACATGGTTCAAATTCAGTATTTTCAAAGGAAAACGTTACATGACAGTGTTTACTGTGCAAATGATAGCACGTGACATAGTCCACAAAGCAGAACTGGTGACGGCTGCAGTGTGGAGGGGGGCATTTCACTGTAGGTTGTCCCCTCTGCGTCTTCAGGGCAACACAATTACATTTTGAACATATGGACAAACCTTCCTTTTCCACATTTTCCTAGATTTTTGGAGCTGCTAAAAGATATTAGCTCCGTTATGCAAAATGTACTTGCTCCAAATTTGATCAAAAGACCTAAACACTTGAATAGGTTGGTAAACAAATATTTAAAAAATGACTTATTCGCAGGAAAGAGACCATATGAATATTACAACATTTTATTATTATTATATCGTATGTACAAATAACAAAATAATTTTCTTACTTTTGTTAATCATTCTGACCTAAGTTCTTGTTTGATGTTATTTTGTTAATGAATAATTGCCTTTATCTAGAATAATGCTTAACATAATAAAAAGAAAAACGTGGATTCTTTTTTTCCCTTTAATCAAGGGGTGAAGATAAAACATGATAAAACAATAAGTACAATTTCCTCTTAAATGTAGTCAATTAGATATATTTGGAATCTCTTTTTTAAGTGGTCAGCCAAAAGTGATCCACAAAAACCTCAAAAAGTCCAAACTGAATTAAAAGATTAAAGTAGCGTGCGGTGGACAGACACAGGCAGGTCATTGTTCACACCGCGTTTGCGCTTCTTTGTGGTCATTACTCTGTTTCGACAAATGTCTTTGCATTTAGATCACCCGACAAGTTTAAGTGGAATCTCCAAAACGGTGTCTGCACTCAGGCCTGATTTAGCTTAGTGGCAGGCCTTCAAAACTAATAGTTATTCTAGGCATTAAGCAGAATTCCAGCGCTGACAGCACTTCCACCAGCGTACGGGCGTGTGTGTGTGTGTGTTTTGGCCCTGCAGGTGTGACTGATGTCAACTACAGCTGCTACCCGGGCCGGGAGCTGCAGAGGGACTGGCTGACCGCCTATCTGGAGAGCTACAGGCTATCCACGGGCCGTGAGCCCACGGTCACCGAGGCAGAGGTGACTCGGCTCTACATTCAAGTCTGCAAATTCTCACTTGTGAGTGCGAGCTCCCGACCACGCCGCTGAAATGTAGAAACGTGGCATCACGCAGAGCCACGGCTCCTCAGAGAGACTTCACAAAGCGACAAATCTCTCAACAGCTACTTCCTCTTCTGTTTTTTTCTAAGTTCTGGCCTCAGAAGGACTCAGACGTCCTGGCATTATGAGATTAGAGTGTGCATTTCAGCGGCTGCCGTTTGTGCGCAGAGCTCCGAAATGGCAGGGTGGCAACACCTCACCATCACATTCTAACAATTTACTTTTCCAGCACCTCCCCCAAAGGAAACCAGAGCATCCACCGCTGACCCGCCGCTGCTCAGAGCCTGACGGACTCCATCAGAGCTGATTAGAAGCTACCGCAGGGAAAAAATGAAAGACGGCAGCCAAAATTATTTTTCTTATGACCACAATTTTCATTCTTTTGGTGGCTGGAGTGGTGCTGGGCTATCTGTCTGAAAGTGCTTCCACAGCTCAACACAATACGCCCAATTGTCCCACCAATTTTTGGGGTGGTGTGAATGTCTCTTGAAATAGCCCAGAAGTGATGAGGAAGCATATTACTTTTTAGAATAACTTGTGCTTTGGCCAAAAAAACAGAGAGAGACAGAAATTAGAAGGGGGTGGGGGGAGAAATATGGCCAGGAAGGGAGTGAGAGAGGCGATAACATCACGTTGATTGAATTCAGATTTTCTGTGACAAACAGAGGAGGGCTCTTAACTCAGAGGATGTGAGAGAAATTGTTCACTGCCACACAACGGGCCAAGTTTCCAGCTCATTCCGACAAGCTGTGTGTCAAAATGAAGGATACTGAGCCGGTTATTTATACACACGCTATACGTGTGCATATAACTGGATATATGTATATATGATAAATAGTTCATTTTTCCCTGTGGAAATCGTGTTTTTAGGTGCTGTAGCATTAACTCTCAGAACAGATTCACTGTTCATGAAGCATCATTTTAAAGGAAAATGTCTAAAGCTTTTCAGATTTTCATGTTTTATACAGTAAAACATTAAACAAATTATTTTAGAATACCACCTTGAGCTATAGGTAATAATTATAGCTATTTTTGTTAAACATTATTGTAAAAGTGTTTCATAATTCAATGAATTAATTAAGAATGTGATAAAACCAACGCTCTCTAACCTTTTTTTTTTTTTTTATAACACGCACAGGTAATATTATTACTTCTAATCACATCTGAAAAACAAGCAAACAATTGATTTAGCTCATTATGTGTAACAGGCTTTGAAAATAAGCAAAAATGAATTTCACGCTGCTTTGTATGCCCGGTAGATATGTCCAATTCTCTTTTCTCTTTCTTAACTCATCAGATTTCTCCTCAATTTTCTCTATATTTCACGCCGTGCCCGTCCCTCTTAACGATCAAATGCTATACATTCATGCTACGGTCCAATCTCTGGACTTAATACAGCGGATGACTATTGAAAACATGCCCCGGAGTGAAGGAAGCTGTGAGGCTTCCACAAATGGTGGCCGGTTGCCAGAGCGCAGTATCTGCTTCCAGTCTTAATCTCTGGAAAAGCGATGCCAGGACGCAGTGGGATCCTGCGCCTGTCCTCTGCTCCACAGGGAACCCCCGCAGAGCCAGGGCTGAGGCCTGTGGCTCTGTGATGTCACCCGTCCCACATCTCATCTCCGTTTTTCTCAATGGCCCCCTGTCACCCCCGTTTTCAGCTCAGTGTTAGATTAATGCTCTCTTAATGGAGAGCAGTTATTAATCATGATGGAAAAGCGCTCGGTGTTTTTCCCCCCGACTAAAGATAGAGATTAGAGATGAAAATCTGCCAGGGAGAGGGGAAAAAAGCCAAGGGAAAAACCGCACAATGCTCTTCAAGTATTTCATTCCACCCTTTATTTGATTATCAAATAAAAATGTGATTATATCACTGGGCCGCAGAACAGAGGCCCGTCTGGATCTTATTAGGACTTGCTATTAGTGGCCTTACCATGAAGATTTACAATAAGGGTGGAGAACAACAGAAATTTATGGAGGCATGGAAGTCCGCAAGCCTAAGTAAGCAAAGCCATTAAGGAGGGAACCATTCAATACAGAGGTTTGTCATTCTGACTGAGCAGAGTGCAACTGGCATGCAGCAGCAGCAGTTTTAGGACCGCTGCAGGTCACAGGATTGTGATTTTTACAGCTCTGCGCCGTGGGACGAGGAAATGTTCCCAAAACATAAAAAATATAGACCTTAATTGTTCACAGAAAACATTCGCCATAAGAATAAAAGGCATTCCGATACCGTTGCAGTACTCAGCTCCCCGAGAGTACTGGCTCTAAAGGCAAAAACACGGTAAACTTCCCGTGATGCCCGCCGTCTACTGAAGTGCCCCTGAGCAGGACGTTCATCAGGGCCTGAAAAATGTTTTTGTTAGTTTCTGGTAGAAGTGACCAGGCAGTCGCATTGTGCTCAGTACAGTATATTATATAACTGAGTGCTGAATGAAAGGTGTTTTTCTCATTTAATTTGGCTATTTGTTTGTTGTCTTTGTGGTTTTCTTAGATGCCTCTGGCTGCTCCGTTTTAAAAGCCTGAAGCTCAATTTAAGATGGCCTAATAAGGGCCAACCTTTGGGTTACATTTCACTGTGACCTGCATCAACCAAACAGTGTCCATTAAATGTGATGCATCATTATTTCATATAGACGCTTTTCTTTATTTATTGTTTTTATTGTGAGTTTGTATTTTCAAATTTTTTATTGGAATTAATAAAAGCCCATAGAAAAATATAGACTGATTGAAAAAAACCCAACACATTTGGGAATTTAGTCACCATCATCATTTAATTTTTTCTTTCTCCTCCACCAGGCCTCTAACTTCTTCTGGGGTCTTTGGGCCATTCTGCAGTCACGTTTTTCCTCTATTGACTTTGACTTCCAAAGGTTTGTTTTCACCTTTAAAGTCTTGTATTTAATATTGTGTATTTTTTTATTGATATGATCTCCTTTGACATAAAGCTTAACAACTGCTCAGTGAAAAACACGAGTGACTCCTGTGCAGCACGATAAGAGCACTTAAGATCATCATCCATTACTCACACACTCATTAATTGACGAATCTATTCAGGCACATAAAAGTGCAATCTATAGAGCAGTGGAATCTTTATAGGGTTTGCATATTTGGCAGAGAAAGATTTGCAATAAATAACTGGCTGTGGAGTTTCCTTCTACAATGCTTTCCTGCTTTCTTTCTTTGCGTCTTTCTCTTTCGGGGGCAGGACCAGCACGAGTCCACAGTTCTTGTAGCCTCCCCAAACAGGCAAAAATATTTACCCGCCGAATCGCTCTGCTTTTCTTCACCGCTACGCCACACTTCGCCATAAAACAGCGTCTTTTTTACAGAGATTTGCAAAGGAAGTCAAAACAAATTTCTTTGATTTTCCTATTGGTAAAGAGCATTTAGTCCGGCAGACATTCCTCCCCACCAGCAACCAGACAGTAGGGTTCAGCAGGGCAGAACGCTCCCCTCCTCCTCCTCCTCCTCCACTTTTCCCTCCTATGCCTTCTCTCTCTGTGTACCCCACACCAGCAACAGTTGTGATCGTGATCCTAATCACTATTGACATACGGCACCCTCCCCTCTGTGTGGCTTTCCCCGCTCGCTAGCTAGATCAGCAACAGGGCCCCCGCCTCATTTCGATCTGGACCCTGGAGGAAATGTGATCCAGAGGGGTGCCGAGGCACAGAGGCACTATTGTTTCAGCGTCGCGGGCCCTGCCTTACATATACGTCTGGCATGGACGTCTGCTCCTTAAATCCAGCGGCCGGGGTTGTCCTAAAGTGCAGGCAGAGGGTTGGATTACCTTTCTTTGACTGGGGGGTTAAACTGAAACGAGCTCAGAGAGCAACAACAACTCTGGAGAACAAAGTCTAATCTATGAAAGCAGCGCTATTCTTCTAACCTCTACCCTCCCCAAACGCACACACACACACACACACGCGCACAGACATTTGTGCGCTCGCTAAATCCAGAATGTTTCAGCATTCAGGCTCAACAGAAAGAAGCAGCTCCAACGGCAAAGGTTAAGATTCTCTCGCTTTCATCTTCACTGTCATTTGTTTAAATGGCGCCGGTTTATAAAAACGAAGGCTACATTGTATAAAGGAGTAATGTAACACTTTTTTTTTTTTAAATTGCTACAAACAGCAAGTTTTACTGAATAAAAGCTAGGTCACACAGGGAGCACGTTAGCTTTTAAAAAAATGTCTGTGTCTGTCTCTGTCGATTTTCAGACTACAGAAGAACACAATAATAAATCCCATACATTCATGTCAAACCATGTGAATGCTGCACAAAGAGCACTCTAAGAAATACAGATAGACATAAAGAGCAAAACTCACAAACCTTTTAGCAGTTAGCTTTCAAGCTAAAGAGGTATGCTAACAAGTTATGGCCTATGAATAGTCAAAGAGAGAGCTCTTTATTAAAACAACCTTTTAAAACACAGCAAAAAATAAACTAAGTGGATGTCTACTACTGCGTTGAAGAACAGTTTTTACTACTCAAACCTCTGGCTAAATTTTCCATGAAACCAAAACAATAAAGAAAAAGCGGCTGTTCAATTACAGGGTCAGGTGATAATTATTTTTGAGGCAATTAACAAACAACGTTTGTCTCGTGTTAAACACATTCATTTGATTTCACTTAAGAAATAATGTGCTTTAATTTACTTGTCATGACCACAGCCCTGTCCTGAGATAACCAAATTGTTTAATTTCCTTTAACTTGCAAAGAGAAGGCACAATGCTTTGCCTGTGATAAACAAGTTATTTTGAGGGGAAAGATAAGAAGCGAGCCTCAGACCCGCCGAGCGTGTGTGTGTGTGTGTGTGTGTGTGTGTGTTTCCTCCCACTCTCATCCCCCCCGAGCCAAATCTCTGCCGACTTCCCAACGAGTGACAGGCGTCGCCCGGGCCTTGTGCTTTAAGCAGGGCCAGATGTGGATGTGACAATAGGGGAGCCACAAGGGGAATGCGAACCCGCCCTCCCTCTGCCGTCCATATTTACTTTTCTTATATGATTTTATTCATGTGTTGAAAGTGTCTGCAAGTCAGCGGTCGGGATTTGTAGACATCCTGGCAAGGCCAGCTGTTGTTTGACAAAGACATTATTATGAGGAAATGAACAAGGAGGAGGCCCACTGTTTGGAGTAGCTTGACTTCAAAATTGAGGGAATTGTGCACACAAAAGCACATTGTGAAACGGAATACCTGCACTGGCATAAGTTCATTTTCCCCTACTTCAGCTAAATGGGAAAACGTCTCAGTTTCATCTGTGATGATGATAAACTCAAAGCACGCTAGTTTTAGGTGAAATAGAAATGTATGGGAGCGTCTGTGAAGCTAACTTTTCTTATACTCATGTATATTCCTTCTTATGAAGGGTGTGTGTGTGTGATGGGTAATTAGATTAACGCTACAAAATGCTAAAACAGAAGTTTTTCTTTTCTTTTCCCCCCTTTTTGTTGCGCAAGTCAACAGTGAATCTATTTTTCTGTGTTCATCAAGAGGTGTTTACAGTTTTACAGAGTGTGATCTGATTAGGGGTTTGAGTTTGGTTTAATATGCATTTGCCAAACTGAAATAGCAGCCTCACTGCAGCCATACGCTCCAGTCAGGCTTTCGTTTCCAGAAGTTTATTACAAACATTAAAAAAAGCATAGTCATCTATATGAGATTAGGAGCAGGACTCCAAATGTGACGTGGTTTCTTGTTTTTTGTACACAGATGTTTGCTATTGATAAAATAGAGTCGTAATTAACAATTCGTGATTTTTTATTTTTTTTTGTCTGACGTGAGACTGTTTTTCCACAGCTATACTCTTGGATGCTTTGCTACCTAAGTGGTGAGTGATAGCTCCCCGAAGCCCTGTTAGAAAGGAGAGCAGCACTGCAGGGAGAGGAGAAGGTTAGATCGATTGACAGCATTTATTTGCCCGTCCAGGAAAAAAAGAGAGATTAACTATCTCCTGATGGCAACACACGCTGTTGGCAGAGCATCTGTTTATCCAGATAGATGATAGGTAATGCTTTACCAATCTTTTGTGGATCAGTCGACATGAACTGATTCTGGCCGACCAACGGTGGCTTTGTTTCTGTTCAGTCGTGATAAAGGAGGCTTCACTCCGCTGTCTGAGTGAGGAAGAGAACTGCCAGTCATCCTCAGGAACACACATTATATCCCAAATGAAGTTAGTCTGAAGAAAATGCCGGCCTCACCTCGCCAAACCACAACGAGTGAACTGGAAATTGTCCGCTCCACCCGACAGAAAAAGCTTTTCTATTCCTTAAAGTGTTAATTATTAACCGTTTTCCACAGTCCAGCTTTGCTACAGATGGCAGTGCAGCACCTTTATCAGCAATCTGCAGGCTTGTTTTTACATTTAAAGGTCTCCTTTAAGTGAAACTACAAGGAAGAAACGCTTCCAAGGAAAGCAGACAAGAGGCCAGACTTTGACACAATAATTAGAGCTCTATGTTACACTGCCATGCAGGTGGGGGAACAGAGTGATGGAATACCAGAAACTAAAAGCCGTCCATCAAAACAATCTTTTTGTCTCAGCGAGCAGCACGAGCGAGAAAACTGATTCGGATTTCAGTGAAAGCAATAATTAAAGGACAAACTCCTCTCTGTTCCTCCATTTGCTTTGCTTTGAAACCTCCCTTAATTTCAAAGGTGTAGTATAATGGCCAAGGGCAACAGCATCCAGACATCAGATTTATTGAGATGCTGGATAATGTGTTCTGAAGCAAAACAAAACCTCCGTTCTCGTCGTTAAGTTCTTAAATGTACTCATGCTTTCAGGCTCATCGCTTCATTGTAACCAGAGCCAGCTCAATACTGGTTTGAAAGTTTTAAAAACATTGAAACAACAGAGCCTACCTTGGGCTGTGAGGAGCATGTGGACTTTTTGCAGCTCACTTTTTCATGGAGGGAGACACTACAATGGAGCCAGATTCTTTTAAACTACTAACAAGTGTGTCTAAGCTGTGTGAATGATAATTGTTTAAAAGAGAACATGCTTTTAAATATTCATTTATTTTGCAATTTTCTGGGTCACCTTAAGTGCAAAACAAACATTTATTGTGTGGGAAGGTTAGCTTTAGTATCCCAATCATTTTCTTTTTTCCATTGAATTTGCCCTGCTTTGTCCCATAACAGATATAGGGATTGATAAAATCTTATAGATAAACTTAAATAAGTTTAGGATGTATTGCCTTACTCATAACCGATAACCAGAATCAGAATCAGCTTTATTTGCCAAGTATGTGTGACCATGCAAGGAATTGGACTCTGGATGTTTCTCACTTCAGTGGAATTGCATACAAAAATACAAAAAATCAAGTGTTAGTATTTACAAAAAGAACAAGATATATCTACATGAGTGAAGATATTGAACATATGTGCAAATAGTGCAATAGTGCAATAGTAACAATAGTATCAATGTGGAAAACAGAGAAACATTTTTGGAATAGCTTTTCAAATAACTTAAACAAATTTAAATAACTTCTGGCTTTTCTCCCACATGAAAAGACCTTCCTTAGTAATTTATACAGTGACCCTGATCACCCTGTTGTCCATTATCACTTTTCCCGTCTTCCTGTCAGCAGTCCGAGTCAACAATTTCCCAAAATTACACTGTTTTATTTGCATGATCCAGCCGTGTGCTAATTTTATCATAACACAGTAAATACAGTATTATTGCAGGTGATTTGTTCGAATGACAAACAGTAGCACCAACAAAAGTAGAACAGGACTAATTGCAATTGCATTTTGCTGTGTCCAACACTTTGCATGTTAGCTTCTCATCTCTTCCTCGTTCCTGCATTTACAGTGTATTAATGCAGCACAATTTACCCATAATTACACCTATTTATTTACTTTTTCTGTCTATTCTGCTGTATGCACAACAAATAAAGAGTGCTCTGAGAACATCTCTAAATATCTAATTGACATAGTTGATAGCTGTTGCATGCTCTGAGAAAACACAGCATCGAAATCTGTTAAAGACAAAGTCTGTGCGACAGTTTACCGCCGCGTTTACGGTGGTGTTCCAGATTGAAACGTGGAGGTGCGTTTGCAGCCTGACAGACGCAGGCAGCTCCTGGAGCAGCCACACAGAGACGGGGAGACGGGGAGAGTTTCTGCTGTGAGCAGACCTCTGGCTCTGGGGGGAGCAGAAAACGGCCGTGTCCACATCACAGGTTGCCGTATTTGTCTTCCACTGAGTGGAAAAAAGGAATTTGCGGGGCTACGGCATATGAAAAGTTGTGACTTCTAATGCCGACTTAAGAATCCTGTGTGTGTGTGTGTGTGTGTGTTTGTGTGTGTGTGTGACCTCGATACTTTACAGTCCGCGCCTCTCTACCAGTATCTGCCAGGATCAATAGAACTTTGGAAAATTCACAACAGGTTGTCCTGCCTAGTTGCTCTGCCTTGGCCTGAATCAACATCACCCGCTATAATCCAGGAGATAAAATTCTTGTACTGGATCAAACCAATTCTTGTTTGGATTGATCTCCACCTCCCTATGTCATATCCCGAAGCCGTATTGAATTAGATACTGTAGTTACGTTGCCTTCCTTGTAAGTTGTTTGGATAAAATAATCAGTTATAGCAACTAAATTAAATGGAAAACTTGAGTTATCCAAAGCTGACCTAAGAAGTCTGGATTTAGGCCGTAAAGCTTTTCATACTGTAAACACCAAAACTTAAATTACAAAGTAATGCAGCTGGTTTGAAAAATGAAAACCTACTTAGCAGCATATAAAAGCTGGGTCTATTTACAGTGCATTCAGTGTGGGACCCTGTAGTTTTTATTCAGCTAGTATAGAATTTCTGAATTAAGCAGATTTGATCCTTCGTTCAGACTTTTAAGAGCAAAGTGGACTAATAGTGAGTGCAAATAGATGGCAATTTAGTTTTTTTTTTTTTGGCACATATCTTCTCACTTTTTATAAGGCGCTAGAAAACATGTATTGATTTTACTGCAAGAAAGTGAGTGAGATTCCTGATCAAAAAGTCTTATCCATCTGATGGTGGTCACATTGTATTTAGTAATTGAAATAAATAAGACTCATGCTTTGCACTACAGTTTTTCATGGCGTACGTCCAGCTGACTACCCATGCCAGTCATTTTCACATTTGAAGGTGAGGATGAAGTCGAAGAATGAGAAATTACAAGTAGAATGAAGGTGGAGGCAATGTAGAGAACCAAGGAGGACATTGAATGTGTATGTCGTGTCAGTCGTTTATACAGACAAAAAGAAAACATTGGGAAAAATTGCTCCGTATATATGTGGCCCGTTATATATTCTGGGCTACAGAATCTTGGCGTGTGCAAACTAACTTTCCGGAATCAGGTGGAACTATGGAACAAAAACTCTCAGAGCTACCCAAAAGTGTCAGGATGACACAGGAATAAAGAGACAACTTCTTAAAGATGTGAATCTGGAAGGGTAAAATGACCAGACAGAGGAAAGAGCAGAACGAGTCAAATGATGTGTTCTTCTTGAGAAATCCGGGTTGTTGAAGATGTGGCTCCTTCTTTTCTCTGATTTCATGTTCCATTTCTGCTCTCTTTCTAGGTACGCCATGGCACGACTGGGCTATTATTTTGAAAAGAAAGAGGAATATTTAGGATTAACAATGGACCAGTTAACCTGCTCTACCTATGAAGAAAGGCTGTGAAGAAACCGGCCGTCCGTCTGCATCTCCTGGAACGATATCACGTAAATCGGAATACGTTTTGGAAATGGAAACGCATAGAATGAGCCCATAAAAGTGTTCACCATTGTTTGTTATTTTAGTCTATAGGGGGAGCAAATATGTTTTGCTATCAATGTGATTTTTAGAATATTTGTTTTACCACAGTCAGTATGCTGATAAGCCCGTTTGGCAAATTGAGACGAAGCTCCTGCCAGAAAAGCATTAATTGTTCCCACATTCAGCCAAGACGCATAAAGCCACAAAATCTGAGCCTGATCATAAAACCCATAAGAGGGTTATTTGCGGCCTTATTGAGTGTGTACCACAGTTCTGATGGAAAACAAGTTTTTCTGTTTAAACTTATTCACTGTATAAAGTTGGATAGTATTTGAAATCTTCCTCTGTCCCGACAACCTGCTGGAAGCCTCTGATCACACCTAATAGGATGTTCAGCTATCTTAAAGTCTCAAGAAAACTGAAGGAAAGTGCATAGAAATGGTTGACACATAGACTAACATATATTGATTCAAATTTTTAGGATTTGCTGAAACTGCCAGAAAAAAATACAATTTCTGAAAAGGTTTGTGTTAAAAGCACATTTGCTAAGCAGCTGATAGAGCTGAACTTTATTTAGGATGGATCCTTTTTGTGTACATGTGCTACATTACTGTTTGGCCTAACATTAATGTTTATAAGCTAATAATATTTTCCTTGATCAGAAGTCTAAATGCAGTTCACAACAGTGTACATCACGACACCCTGTTGGGAATAAGCGGTATACAAAATGGATGGCCTACAGGTACAGAAGCCATTTTCTTTATAGGGAAAAAGCTTAAAGCTGAACTGAGCCATGGAGGGTGCCAACAACCTTCACTTGTTGGGGGCTAACGGAACATACAGACACAGATTAGAAGACACTGAAACAAAGAAAAAAAACAGCCCTAAGAATACTTTTGTGAAGATTTAAAAAGCTATAATAAATGAGTATTATATTCAGTCGGAGAGCAGCAAGACACAGCGAGAACGCCATTTGGAGGGTTGTCATTTGGTTCCTGGCTTCCCAGACTACATGTTGAAGTGTTCTTGGGCAAGATATTGAGCCCCACATTTCCTCAGATGTGCACTGTATAAACTAAGATGTGCTACGAGTGTGTGTGTGTGTGTGTGTGTGTTTGAATCAGTGACTGTAGCTTGTCATGTAAAAGCACTTTGAGATGGGCTGTGTAAATACTAAACTCAGCCTTTTGTGGGTGGTCCACCACTTTCAACATCAGCTCCGCTAACAGAGGCCTTTGGAGTTTGAGGTTCTCATGCAGCTTCTTAGCTGTTCCTTGGCCTTAAATCTTCTGGACGGAGATCTTTAATCTCGGTTGGATTCACCTCTCCATTTTGGAGGGTCACAGTCCCATATCCCAGTAGGTTAGCCACCACCTGCTTAGCCGACTGGACCATGGAAGTCCTACAGGATTGTAGCTGTCGTTCACCACCTTAGAAGTTATCTTCTGCTTTGACTGCCAATGCAAATTTATTAGAGACACTACCTTACACTAATACCTACCTCTGTCTTACGCCTGCCACTATGTTCTGTATCTTATGCCCTGTCTGGTGTGGTAGACCTCAAGCTCTATCACCCCTGTTTTCAGAGCCTTCATAATCTTCCATACCAGTCTTTTCTAGAGACTTATATGACTTCTTGATATCATCCATTTTCGTAAACTTTTTGTGGAACATACTATACATATACTTCTACTTTCATGATAGTTCCCCCTCTCCTTTCTCTCATGTAGGTTTCAGCTGCCTGAGGCATTACTGGGGGCCATCTTCCCGATACATTTTTCTATTTCTTAGATATTTCATCCTGCACAATGACTCTGACACCCACTAGTTCATGGTCCCACTCTTCCTGTTTGGCCTAAAATCTGAGAGTGATTGGCTGTGGTTACAAACTTCCATGTAGTTTGAAAGGATGTCTTGTTTTGATATCAGTGACTTCTATCTCCTCATTTGGCTTGGTTAAGGTATGAGTAGGTGTCTTATGACTGGCTGGGTAAATGAGTTGACGGCTTTGTTCTTCCCATTCATCTGACTCTTACTTTTACATGTTTTGTCCCAACAGCCTCTTTGTACACTCATGGGATCCGTGGGCTAGTATAGATACCTGTAAACTTTGAAAACAAAGACTGAAGCATGAAGTAGTTTTTGTTGGGCTCAGATGTTAAAGAACCTCGCGGCAGTGTTGATGACAAAAGGTTTCATCGAGAACTTAAACAACCCAATAATGCAACCCAACTCACTTCTCAGACAACCATACCTAAAATGTTGACTCTGTTTCAACCACATCAGCCAATGAAGGATCCTTGCAGCGTTTCCAAAGTATACCTTAAAAAATACATATGAGAGATGATTCACAGGAATCAGATTGTTGTTTTTTCTTTATTCAAAATCTCAAGATGTTGAAAATACCTGTCCCTTTTTTGGCCCTTCCCACTTTAAGTGGATAGTTTGACTTGACCGTGCATTTAATCTGTGAATTTATTAGCTTTATTTGAGTAAATGAGGACACGGGAAGTAAATAAAAATACCAGACAAATAAATTGGTGATATCACAATGCCAGTGGGATTCTTCTCCTTTTTTAAGGAAATGCTACCAAGCACCAATAAGTTAATATTGTGGGTAATGATAAGCAAATAGTTATCACATCAACAATCAGCAAGACTTTGGTGCTCCTCCTGTTGTGGATGCAGCATAAAGTAGAGGTTCTGACTCTCGGGGTATCTCAATGTGATCTGGTTTGACTCACTCTAACAATCGAGGTCTAGCTAAATGCCTCCAACTCTGATTACCAAATTTGTAAGCTAAGTCCAGGTTTTTACAATTTGATTATGTGACATGTATCAAGAATCCAGTTGGATTAAAGAAACCCACTGCAATGGGAGATTCTAAAAGTTAAGGAAGCTAACTTGGAAAAGGTTAAAGAACCACAGGGGAGCAGTGGGGAGAGCTTTAAGGAGGAAGGATGACAAAGAAGAAGAGGAATTTCAACACCCAACAACGGAATGCATCCCCGAGAAAGCTCAGCTTATCAACACGCTTCAATCACGTTATTCCAGCATTAGATCAGTGGATTGGAATGATTTACTGTTGTACATTATATTAAATGAATGTGGTGCAGATGTGATCTGTAGCATGTAAAAAGGTTTCCGTCTTATTCTGTCTAATTTTTCATTGGCTGTTCTGGACGTTCTCTGCTAAAAATAAGCCATTTGTTTTTAAAAGAGGTTTTTTCTCTAAGTTACTTTATCTTATTTTAATGCTGTGTTGGCTTACAAATAAAAGGAAAAATTACTTAGTTTTCAAACACTTTTCCTTAATTAATTCATTTAATTCATTCAGAACACTTTCAAATATAAATGAAAAAATCTTCAGATATGTTTTGATGCCATAGATTTGAAGTGTCCAGGAACGTGTTTTAGGAAATATGTCCATATTGAACTACTACTACTACTAAATCACCCGAAAAAGGTCTTGTATAGATTAGCAAAGATCCAACAGTGTAATCTGTCACAGGTGGATTTTTTCCATTTTATAAAATTACTTTGTTAGAGAAATTCTTGGTCCGCAGGCATTAGTTTTACATGTGATTACTTATAAACACCAATCTTACTTCGGTCATCCAGATTGTTGTATTCCCAGCATACATTGTGTTATGATCAGGTGATTTTGAATGAAAGATAATGATACCGGGAGACAGAAATAAGCAATGCGACGAATAGGATCAACACCCCCCACATTCAACTTTTTCCTGTGATGTTTGTGTGACGTGTAGCCACAAGAGCTTTTGAACTGAAAAGCTGCTTTATATCTGTTTGAATAAAGCCGACAATGATCAAAGATGCCGAAAAATATTTCATGTGGCTAAGGCAGTTAATGCAACCTTAAATCCACAGACACAAATCATCCTGTGATACAAAACTGCAGGGAATGCTGGCACATGTAAACCTTCAATAGTCATAAATACACCGTACCCCTATTAATGATACTTATACACAGTTAATTATGATACTTTTTTTGTCCCCCCCCCAAAAAAAAGACCCACCACACTCCCTTTTTAATGGGTGTGTTCCCGTGCAGAGTGGTGCTATTCTGATGGGAATATCTGTGGACGGTAGGGACTCCAAAACTCATTAGATCATGCTAAATCCTTCAAATCAGTGTAAACCTTTTCAATCTTCCAACAAAACCACAATTTTGCTCAAAGTTTAACCAAGTGCTTTGGTTGCCTAAAGACTGTATGCATTTGTCACCACCCCGGTAATTCCAGAACCTTAACTACGCGCACACAGTTGCCCAGTATAACCATAAAGCCCTTAATCGTGTTTCAGTTGCCAAGGGCAGATACTGTAAAAATAATTATATAAACAAACAGAAGGAAAGACTTTGAGAGGAGGGTTGAAACGATTTCTCTGAAGGTCATTCTTTATGTTGAAACCAGTGTCATCACGAGCTGCATTTAATGGGTGCTTTGGAACCTTTGAGCTTATCAAAAATCTCAAATTTACTGAACAGGTGAAGTCAATTCCATGACTGCATAGAAAAGTCCATATTTGTATCATTCCACATGAATCCAAATCAAGTCCAGAGCATCAGTTTTTGCCATTATCTTCCTGGACTCAGTATTTGGATACATGGTGAGGAAAGATCAAAGTTCTGGCAGATGAAACGGGGGCTCTTAGGTGAGTTGTCTTCAGTTTCATGTGTGTAACTACAGTTACTGTGTGTAATTAGCTCAGAATGGCGCCAAAACTTCAATGACCCACAATCAGGGTGGAGAATGGAGACGCTGTGATCCTAACAGGGCTCATGAAATGTTCTTGTACAGAACAGTCTGACACTCTTAGTGAAGATGAGGTTATTTTTCAGTGATGCGGTGGGAATTTGGTAGGTAAGTAACGGCATTCAAATTTCACTCTTCTTTATTAAG